CCACATAAAAGACTGGGTAATGTTCTTGTCTTCACAAAGCCATGTTTTTTTTTTTGTTATTGTCAATGGAACACCTGCAAGATTTGCCTCAGTCGTTTCCTATAGCAGAAGGAGGAAATCTGTATTTGTATTCATGTTCAAGCTCAAACAAGACAATAATATGCAAATTCTGTTCTGGGGTGGATATTACATTTGAGTCGCAATGTAATACAACTATGCTATTAAAATGTTGCTTTAAATGAATTGCACATTGAAGAAAGAAGCCATGTCAGCAAATTATGCGAGTCATTTGTAGAAAGAGATGCTAAAACCAAATCAACCTCGTAGACTTCAACATTTACGGTGCTTTTACCAGTGAATTCTTGTCAGGGTCACTGGAGGATAAGGGGTCTACCACAGCATGTACGCACAAAGAAGCAAACAAAGAGAAACGGTCTATCCACCTAAATGCACTGTTGACGTCATACCACGTTACCTTTAGCCTAAACAGAGGCAGCTTATGCGTTTGTTCTTTTTAAATGTACAGATAGGGGGAAAAATATTCCCCTTTGTGGCATAGAAGGTAAAGATCAATCACTACTGCCTCTCATGATCGCTTCCCCCACTTACTACATAGGTCTATACCGGGCATCATCAAATGAACCCCGACCGAGTGAGGGTTCTATCAGGACTTATGACCATTTTCTGATAAATTAATGAGAATAAATAATTTTCACAGAGTCCAGTTAATATGGCAACAGCTTCCCTCAATTGAACCAATCACATGGTTTGTTTACCATGCATAGACAGCATAGAGAGAGATGTGAGAGAGATGACAGCATGGAGCATGGAGTACATGAACCTGATATACTCACTGGCTACAGGCTGTGTCTGAGGCTGTATTTCCATGGTTTAACCAAAGTAGCACTCCACACCTGGACCAGGTTTTGGTCTACTGACAGTGGTGAGTCAGCTTTCTCCGCTCTGAACAATATTAAAACCGTTCAGGTTCACCAATGAGCACCTACACATGCATAAGAATGATGCCAACTCCGTTCAAGCTAGGTTTCAAACTGGCAGGGCAGTCACAGGCCCATTTTATCTCTAGGACAGGAAGTAGAACTAGAATAACTGCCTCGTGTTGTGTGCTTCCGTCAGCCAGACAAGATATCTTGTTCACAAGAATGGGACAAACGGACAGAAAATCGGATTTGTGGACGTACAGAAAGACAAGACCGACTGACAGACAACCCAAAAAATAAGGCCGTCGCGGGCGCGGAGGCATACAAATGTTTCCTCTCGTTTTCTTTTACCTGATATGCAAGCCATAGGTTGTTATAAAGATAGCCATTTGTTTTACGTACATGTTCAACGTGTCTTACTTTGAAAATGTACAATAGCTATTGTTGAAAAGACATGGAAATACATGTTGTCGATTATATTTGATAGACATTGGAGAGGCTATAGGACTCGATTGAGACATTATGAGATTCTGACCTTTGCTGGGAGGAAATTTTAGTAACTGGACAGCTTTGAATTTTACAGGAATAACCCTATTTTCAAAAATGCCTCGTGGAAAGCTGATCATTCTCAGCAACAAAACATGCCAAGGGTGGAACTTGATTACATTAAAGCCCATTTACTGTAAGTAAAAGTTTCAAAATCTTCACCTTCTTTCAAAACACTTTGAATCAGATCAAGGCAGAAAACGAGGTTAACTCCTCTTTGAGCATCATCCAGTTTAAGCCAGTTCTGTTTTGAGCCAAACTCTCTCACAGCATATATCCTTGGGATTACAAGTGCTTTTCCTCTGCATGCATATTCAAAGAGAATGGGGAAGAAAAAGGGTAAACAATTAAAGAGACACGGAATCTGAATCTGGAGCACTACACTGTTGGTAGAGGGGAATTAATGTTATGCCATATGATATTCTTAAAGAATTCCTTGTCCTTCACCCCTTGAGGATACAGCTAACATTAAGTTAAAGGATGAACAATCACAATTACGTCAGAATTAATGAACCTTTTATTTCTTGGCAGAGTCAGCACAAGTGCTTCATCTTGTATTACTTTCTCATTGCTTTCAATAGTTTTCTAAATTAAAGTGAGGCTAAGCTGATTATGTCATGACAAACTGCCGCTCCTGGCTGCAGGTCATTAGCTTCACTGTCTAGGAGGTCACAAGTGGGGTGTAAAAGTTTTTTGTTGTTCAAAGTTCAATAGATGACTTAATTTGTTGCCTTGGAGAGCAAATTAATTCGATAATGTCATCACCACAGAGCAATCGGCTGAGCAAATTGATATTAAATAATTTGCTACAAAAACCCTCTGATGCCCTCAGCATTCTTGGGCTTATATTCATCATTACCACTGTAACATTATCTGTATTGCTAAAATATGAAGCTGCAGTGATTTGAACACATTCCTCAATTTGCCAGACTTCCCTGACATTACTGGTTATTCTTAATCTCAGTAGGATCCCAGGCGAAAGCGCCCGCAAAAAAAATCAACATGTTAATTAAACTCTGCATATTTAACACCTGCCTTAATTATCAACACCTGCGTGACCTATACCAGGTCAGCAAGCAACATATATAGTACAAGCTAATACAAGTACAACTGTGTCACAGGTGGAAAGGAAAATGTTTAACCAGCCGCTTGCAATATTTACTTGGTGAGTTTCTATAAATATGCATGTCTGTAAAGTATCCTGTTCCCCAGCATGTGTCGATGGCCATATGGGCAGATAGAGAGGGGGTTCTGCTTATCACCTAAAATGTGTCCAAAAAGAGAAGAAAAAAAACAAGAGAAGTGAATTAATCATCACATTCTGTTCTTTGTTGGTACAAATGATGGCAGCACATTTGAAGTCACTAAGGAATTGGTAATTCCCAAATGGAGGACTGTTTGAGTTGATGTTCAACTGTTCAAACATAAGTCTGAACAACGAAGATGAAGAGGGAGCAAATTTTCAGCAAACCGCAAATAAAAAGGAATCCTCCTACAGCTATTAATGTCTTTCTTATTCATTTTTAAGAAACCCCTATAGTGTTTAACATAACTGGCACAGTCAAGATGTTTTTTAAAATAGTGGCAATCCAGTTGCAACACCACCTGCAAGAGGAATGTGCTTTTCCAGTGGCCCCGACTTAAATAAAATGTCTTCTCAGACATACAAAGGGAAAGCATTTTGGGCGGCCTTGCTGCTCTACACACTTTATCATATCCCCTTAAATATTTCATGGGGTCAATATTTAGCTTTTTGTTTTATGGTCAATAATGCATCAACATATCAAACAATATTTTAGTCTAACGTGATCTATCCAACGCCATTTCCAGCTTGAAACACTGTCAGTTCTTGGGTAGCTTTTACGCCACAGATCAAAGCATTGCCAGACTTCTGTTTTTACCCGACTGCATAAAAGATCAAGGCATGTAATGAGGCAACCTGAAAGGTAATAGTTCAGAAGATGAAAGTGTTGGCTGCTTTGGTTATGTCAAAGAGATGTGTACTGTTGTGAAATTCAACCATCACATGCTTCCATTGTGATCATACTTGCAATTATAATGAATTGTGTAATTTGCACTTGATCTCTGCTCACATTCAATACGTTGCGTAATATCTATGTATGTTATCTGTATGTTTCAATAATTGAATCTGATATATCTATGATATATATGGTTCAATAATGTTTCTCTCTGCCATAGATAATGAAGTAGATGGGCCTACACTTCTCCAGATGTCTAAAGTCCGAAAGAATGAGTGAGCGAATCTTTCCAAAAATGAAAGACCAAGTGAAGTTCCTGTCTGCTTTAGCGCAGCTGAAAGTGTGAGTTACGTTATACAGTGAAGCCATGTCATTTCAGTTACAATTCCAAGGATTTACTTGTCTTGTTTTTGGTAGTTTTCTTACATGTTGGCTTAAATTAAAATCTGATTTTCCTCCCCTTTAGCAGTGAAAGCGAAGCCCCTGTGAGTCAGAGAGCCCTAGCAGCCCAACCAATGATCAACTGCCAAGTCCGGTTTCCTCCAACAGTCTTCCCGGCACTGACCAACAAGGATGCAGCTCTTGTTTGTAAGTTTGTGTTCCATAATAGAAGATGGCGACAGACAGTAACACGTGTGATGCGTTACATCATGTAAGCAAACCATGTACCTATGAACTGTGATCTCCAGATCAGACTGGAGACGTAACCACAAAAAAAAAACGTCTAAGTAGTACTTGCTATCTGACATTTTCAAAGCATGCAACAGTAATATAAATAGAAACGGTGTCCGACAAAAGTTCAGCTCTAAACGGTGCACAGCGCAGTACCACTCGCGGCCATTTAGGACACAGTGTCATGGACATAATGAACAACAAAAGATATTTGAAGATAGTTTGAACTGATGCGTTTTTCAAGAACGAATATTCAAACATAATTGTTGGCCAATTTTGACAGCCGTACTGTACAGTAATGACATGTTATCTGCCTGTAAAACAAGTTTCCTTGTTAATCAAGTTTTAGGTCTGTATGCCATAGAGAAAACTATGCATCATGATGACAAACTACACATTTGCAGACCTTTAACTGCTCTTTCTGATCATTTGAGTTAGGTATCTCTGTTTATTGCGCTGATCTGGAATGTTAATCTTGTATAACGCCTTGTGTTTTGTTCCTTTTGAAAACTTACAGGTATCCGTCTCATATTCAGTATGAGCAGCTCTTTAAGTCTGTCCTGCTCAACTTCCCTTTTCTGAAGGAAAGTTATGGATCTGGATATGTAAGTATTTTCTCTCTGACTAAAAGAGTAATGCTAAACTGAATTTTATGCTTCATACTTCATGCTCCAGCTCAGTCCTAATTGTGTCATTGTTTATTACTTAGCAAACAGATGCAATGGATGCTGGGGACGACGAAAGAAGTACGAGCCACCATATTGCAACAATGAAGCAGGAGTGCCAAAAGATGAGGCCTAACTTGGTCATCATTCGCCAATGCCTCCAGAGAGTACAGAAGACACTATATTCAACACTCTACTGCAGAGGTCTTGAAAGAATTCACCTGCTTCTCTATTCCAATCTTGGTGAGTGTTTTATCTAATATATAAGACATGGTGCAGTGTTTCCCGCAGGATTTTGTGAGACTGTGGTGGGTGGACCTCAGACCCTGAAATGGACAGGCGCTGAACCAGAACTTAAGACAGAGGGCGATTTGGGAACAATTAGCTATTTGTTTGATGACGCATATGCCCCTGGGGGAAAGGGGCTATATTTCTGGGGTTCTAGTGTAGCCGGCTGATATCCAGACTTCCTTTTCAGTGCGCTGTTTATTTGTTTACAGTCTGATGAGCAACTTAAGATGTGAGACTGGAGTTGAGAAACGACATGTACAACAAGATGGTTTTACAAGTAGCCAAATAATTTCAAACCAATAAATAACTTTAAAACTATTAATCAACGTTAAATACTTTTTCTTGCCTCATTGATCCATTTTCCCTTTAAGCCTTTTAGAATATCCCATATACTGTGTTTTGTAGAAGTGCTCTAAAAAGTTGACTTGACGTTTACCTAGATACTGTTATCCAAATCAACACTGCTGAGGAAATTGGTATGATAGTCTCAAAACTTTGCAGAATCAGAATTGTGACATTTATTGAAACATGATTTGTCATTTGCAGGCCTGTTGGTGAATGCAGCCATACTCCTCCTACCATCGGTCTTCAAAGGAAATGCATCACAGCTCTTTGCAATAGATAAGGTTAGTCATTTGTGTTTGTGGGGGGCAACTTGAATTTGTTTATTTAAAAAAGGGAAATATATTTTCAGAAAATTAAGATAAAGTGCAATTTCAAAAATATGACATCTAATCTCAACAAACTAGCATTTTATGTGCAACTAAGCATATCAGAAAGCTTTGATCTTTAAACATTACAGAATACAGCTTTAAGTTTCAAATGTTTTGTTTCAGGAACCACTAAGCCCAACACCCACAATTGTCCTGAGCAGCAGCGATGGCAAGCCCCTGAGTGACGGCACAGATGTTTTTGTAGCAGTGGATGGACAAAAAATGATGGTGGACAATGAAGACGCAGACGGTTCATTGGCCATGGGTGTTGTGTTGGCCCTCTATCATCTGAAAAAAAACGTTTTCGTTTTTGGAGGCATTTATCCTGAAGCTGGACACACGGGTACCTGTAGCTGTGCAGAGAGTGGCAAATGCTCTGAACATTTCTTAGATAGGACACTGCATGTAGCACATGGATTACATTGTATAGAGTTGATTTCTGACAATAAAGTGAAGTGCAGTACATCTACAGGTGTTTCTTTTATCCACAAATCAATTTGCCATCATTTCCGTGCATGTAAAAGATGATTTTATAGATCATCACAGAAAGGATCCTGGAATATGATCTCTAAAAAAGAGTGGGAACCCTGATTCCATTGTTATGCTGTTTAAATGTAAAAAAAAAAAATCACGTTTTCCAAAACTCAGTTCTTTAAAGAACCATATATTCCTTGGAAGAACCATTTTTAGCTAAAGAACCATTTGAAAAGGGTTCTTTATGGAACCATTTGGGTCCATAAAGAACCTTTTTGAAAATGGTTCTTTAAAGAACCTTTTTGTCTTTAGGTTCTTCAAAGAACCAGAAATGGTGCTTCAAAGAACCATTTTTTGAAGGTTCTTTTAGGCACCTTTGTGGGTTCTTTAAAGAACTGTTTAAGGAAATGGTTCTTTAAAGAACCCTGGTCAGAAAGGTTCTTTGTGGAACCAAAAATGGTTCTTCTATGGCATCACTCCGAAGAACCATTTTCGGTTCCGGATGGCACCTTTATTTTTCTGTGTGTATGGAATATCCTGTATGTAAAAAAAAAAAACTTTCAGCACCTGTTAAATGATATTAAATGCATGATGAGCTAAATTGTATTAGTGCAAACTCATTAACATTTGCTGAGTGCTCCATTGTAGGCATCAGTTTACAACTCCCACTCAGGTTACATTCTCAACAATGCCAACTGCACTGTTCAGGTACGGAGGCCCAAAGTGTCCAATATTACATAAATAGATGCTACATCCTGTTGGCTTGAATGACCACAAGTGAAAGCTTTCCTTTTTTTTCCAAAATAACAAAATAACAGCAGCTTTGTTAAAAAAATACATTGGGGAAGAAAAGTTAGAATTAAATAAAAACACATTTTGGAAATGGTCATTTGAATTAAGAATTTAAAAACTGATGAAATCGAATAGTCTCAATAAAACAGTAAGAATACATTAAATTCTGTTGAATGATATTAATATATTCATATTAATGAGCCGAGTTGAAAAAATAATTGAAGTATTTCCCCAGTTAGTTCATTGGCAAACAAACAATGTATTCCTGTGAGTATTTATTTCACAATCTCTTGTTCATTTATTCAATATTGAATACTTTGGGGTTCCATAGTCAAGTAGGTGTATAACATGAACGCATTAAAAACAGAGATGAATTAAAACAATTATCAGAGAGCCTCTTGAATTTGAGTCATAGAGTATGACCCAGACAACAATCAATTTATCTAGTTATTATCATTGACCCCTGTAAGAAAGAAAGGGCATTGCAATCATGCAGGCACCACACAGTGATTTAATTCCAGTGTTTCATCAATACTGTGAACTATAGAAAAACTGAACTGAATCTATTGGTCATATCGTCAGTCACGCTGAGCGCAGCAAGACAGCTCGCCCCCGGGGTGGGGGGGGGGGGGGGGACATTAGTGCTTGCTTCATTTTCACTTAACCCTCTTTGACTGGGTTCTTGAGGTATGATCGGACATGCAAGTGTTCTGTTAAGCACCATCAATCTCATATGTCAGAAATGCCGAAAGGATTGGGAAACTGTCTTGTTAACTATTGATCGCCACATAAGTCCTCGACATAATTCAGTCCAAATTCAAAAAACAGATGTCTTGTCTGCCATTTTTGCTGCTTCCTCTCGGAACATAGTCTTAAAAATGATCATTATTTGTTTATTATCATTCTTGGAATGAAGTTGATCATAACGAACAGAAGTGTAGTTGTGAAATGGTGTAAGTGAAATGCTGATTTTATGATGAAAATAAGACAACAAAGCAACAAAAAGTACATTGACAGATATGTCTATGGTCCTTCTTACATATATCTTATAGCTGAAGAAGAGGTCATTCAGTGGTTAACTTGACCTCCTCTCAGTGTTTGTGAACAATGAAATTACTCAATTATTCATGTGGTTTCAAACACTGCGGGGTTCTAATTTGACTCCAATAACGCTCACATCCTTATGACTAATTCTGTGAAGGGCGCAGCACAAAAACTCAAAAAATACATTACTGTCAAGAGTCTGAGCATCCACACTGCTTTCTCCAGCTTGTTGGAAAAGAATAGCTTAATTGAGGAGGGCCATCTGGAGCAGGCATTACAGCTAAGACCATACCAACAACAACAGACTATACCAATCTCATCTAACGCACAAAGTTGTCTAGTAAAAAGACTGAAAGACATTTACTTCATTGCTATTATCACCTGTTTCATGTGGTATATTGCTGAAATTATATTTGTTCTGTTGACTATTACATGTTTTAGATTCGATCACAAAATGGGCAGTGATGGCATCTGTAATGTTATCATTCATCATCTTTGTACAAGCAGAGATGATAGATGACTCCAATAGGTCAGGCAAGATGATTGGCTAGTAATTTAGCTTAATGGTGTCCATTGCATCTCTATCACAATGATACGAATAGTCAAATAATGGCATTAAAGATGCAATGAAAAAGACAGGAAAAATGTGTCAAAAGAATGAAATCTGGCACATGTGATCATCAGGGAAACTATGTTCCAAACAAAAACACCACAGCACTTGTGTGTACTGACAGGCTTTTTCTTTGAACTTTGTACATTTGAGTCTATTTATTCCCTGCACATTTTCTCACCATTTCCTTTTCCAGCACAAAATTATTTAAAGAAAACTTCAACTCTTGATGCAAACTTGTACGGTATTTGGCACAAATGCAGGGGTTCAGAGAGCTATTCGCTAAATGAAGGACAAAGAGGATGCGCATCGATATACCAGGAGAGATCACAGCTGGACAAGAATGTTTGGATTCCTCGGCTGACTTCATCTTTCACCTCCTTCTGTTTGGCTCTCCCCATTTTATTGATGCACAGTAATAGCAGTGCTATTTTTTACAATTGTGTGTAAATGACTGTGTAGGCCATCAGTGATCATATCATTGCTATATGAAATACAGTCACTCCTGGAAATCACAAATGGGAAATTCAGCATTGTGAACCGACAGTGAAACACTTTAAACTGTTATTTGATGAGACAATGTGATTGTGGTTTTAATATCTCTGACTGATGACACCTAATGCTACTGTTGACAGCCTTGTCTTGGCTGTTGAAAAGCTGCTTTTGCTCATGCTAGCTTCACGGAGTGACTGGGCGAGATGCCTCACAGCCTCAATCACTAGAGGTATCAATGAATCATCATATGAAATGTGTTATAGTAAGCTGTAGTGTTGGTAGGTAGATTATGACGTCTTCAGATGGAGCCATGCTTTTTCTCTCCGTTTTCTGACTTTATGCTAGCTAAGCGGCTTCTGGCTACAACACATGTTCAACATACAGACATGAGCGCAACATCAGTATTCTCATCAAGCCTCCAAAAAGAAAGTGAAGCCTATTTCCTAAACCGTGGAAATGGTCCTACAAATAAGTTCCATATATTTTTACTCAATGAACACTCATTTGTAGTATAGTATTAAGTCAAACATGGTGATACAGTGTTGAATTTTTATCAGTTATACTCAAATTCATTTAACAATTAATGACACTTGCACCATGGGACAGAAAGCCTACATGGAGGCATGCAAAAAGGGAATATTAAAACAAGTCTGATGCCTCAATCCGTAGTCTCCTCTGTCGTCTATTTTCGCTCCATTTCTGTCAAGGAAAAAATATAGAGCGCTGTAATATGACAACATTTTCTTCTCATTTGGCAAATAAACAGAGTCAGTAAACATGCTTCTCCTTCCTCTTCAGCGGCTTTGAAGATTTGCCACTTCTCTCTAGCACATTCACGTTGCACGTTAAACCATGCTTACCAGGCTTTTACATATTAGATGTACCTCAAATTCAAATAATACCAAGCGATAATAAGAATCGAGGACCCTTTTTTCCATATTTGGGTAACTAGTGCAAAAGCGTTACCTGAAAACAATATAAAAAAAAGACTCCTTACCATTATGCGCAACGCAAGTTATGATGATAACAATGAGACAAAGAAAAGCCGGGGGGAAAGCAGAATGGTGAATAACAATGCAGCGATAATGTTATGATTCTTGGCAGGTACAATGAAAGGGTGAAGGAATACTCAACATTATGCCAAGCTAAATTCACAAGTATAAATCTGTTGGTTCTCAATATTGTAATTAGGTCTAGTTGATGGGTATTAGAGGCTATGATAAAAAAAATGGGGATCTTTTGATCCACTGTACACTGCCATTTTATGCGTGCTTTCAGCTGCTGTTGGGGTTTCAAAACCTGAATTCTCTTGCAGCTTCAAAGCAGATAGAGAGCAAAGCTTTTCACCCTTGTGTGCCAACTTTTTGATAAGCACAAAGAGACATCTTAACCACTTGTCAGTCAGCTATCGTAGCAGCACCGCCAGAAGACAGGCAGGCCAACAAAACAAACAACCAACACTCCTCCATCTAACCTATCTTGGAATAAATGGACAAAGCAGCGAGGAAGCAATAACCAGACTGCTAAACCTCCTCCGCTCAAAGAGGCGCACCGGCCAATTCAGCATCACAACAACCAAATGATATTGCGCATGTGGAGACTTGGCCCAGCGAAGTGTAAATAAGCATTTCCGCGCTCAGCACTGTGTGTATAACATGGTGTCAGGTAGCCACAATCAATGTAGAGAGGCAGAGGGAGCAATCAGCCAACCTTTGCCTGGTGAGA